TTTTTTGTATTCTGCTTGAAAAGTTTTGGTGTTTGTGCTTTCTTTGTTGTGTGTGGTCAGCTGTAAATCTACTTTTGCCTTGGTGAGGTGCCACGGAGGGAGGTCGGGGAAAAGAATTTGTTGGATGTCTTGTTTGGAAAAGTGTAAGTTTTTGAGGTCCTCAAGGATTCTGAGGCCGAAAGGTTTGATGAGTTTTTCGTTGTTTTGGAATCTGTTTCTGGTTTCTGGATTTGTTTTAAAAATGCTGTTGTGCGCTGGATTTTCCGGTGATGAGCTCTGTTTAACTGCGTATTGTAATGAGAGTTGTGTGCGTCTGAGTGAGAGTGGTGGTATGTTGGCCTCGGCCTGGAGGCTCTCCACCGGAGAAGTGCGGAAAGCCCCCAGAGCCAGGCGGAGTCCTTGGTTTTGTATTGGATCTAGTATTTTTAAGACGTGTGGTTTTGCCGATCCGTAGACTTGACAGCCGTAGTCAAGCCTGGACCGGACAAGGGAGATGTACAAGTGGAGAAGGTGTTTTGAGTCCCCGCCCCACTCCGGATTTGATAGAATTTTCAAAGCGTTTAACGCTTTCTGGCACCTCACACGAAGGTCTTTGATGTGTGGTATGAATGTAAGTTTTTTGTCGAAAATGACGCCGAGGAAACGAGCTTGGTCCTGGACGGGAATCCCTTCCCCGTATAGTGTCAAATCCGGCTGCAGCACACGTCTGCCTGTTCGGCAGAAGTGTACTGCAACCGTCTTTGACGGGGAGAACTTGAAACCGTTGTTGTTTGCCCACGTTTCAAGTTTTTGCAGCTGCCTTTCCATAGATCTCAAAAGAGGATTTTTCGATCGGCAGCATATCAAAAAGTTGTCAACGTATAACGAGCTGTCTATGCTGTTCTGGAGGGTTTTCTGGAGGGATGAAGTGCCATAAGTGGCTCTGTTTCTGTAAGTTGGGGATTTATCATTTAAGAGACAGATGTTATTTTGAGATAAAAAGTTTTCTATTATTTTTCCTTTCTGATCTATAGGTTTGTCTCCCAAAAGGGGGCTGTGGGCATTGAAATCACCTAGCAAAATAAACGGTTTTGGTAGCTGAGCCTTTAAGTCATTTAGTTGGGTTATTTTGAGGGGGTAATTTGGTGGGATATAAACTGAGCAGATCGTGATTGGTCTGTGCAGGGTGACCCGTACGGCAATAGCCTGGAGGGTCGTTTTAAGATGTACTTGTCTGTGGAGTGTGTGGTTGTCGGTGTAGATGGTGGTACCACCAGAAGCAATCTTGTTCTCTGTGTGAATGTGATGGTACGCAGTAAATCCTCTTAAGGCTATGGTTGAAGCCGGGGCGAATTTTGTTTCTTGAATACACAGTGTGGCCTGTAAATGTTGCAATTCTGCAATGGAAGGTCAGATTCCGTCGGCATTCCATTGCAGGACCTTCATTATGATTATTTACTTTTTAATTTGGAGCTTAAAGGCCCTGGCTTCGAAGGAACACTCTGACTCCTCCTTGCGGGGGAGGCAGAGTGTTTTCTAGGTTGCCGTCCTGGATTGGACGGCAGTCTAGTGGGGGATTTGGAGGAGTGACAGACTCCGCCCTTCCCGGGGTCAGGCCGGGGAGGGGGGTCGGAGATGTCTTCCTCCATAGGCAGGGGTTTGTCTGCTGAAGGGGTAGGGGGAGATGGAGCAGATGGAGAATAAATACATAAATAAATAAATAAATAAAAATGATAAAATAAAATAGAATACAAACTGAAAAATAAATAAACACGGAAGGCTATTAATTTCACCTTTGATTACAGCCAATGCTGTATTGTAATGTTTCATATCACAAGCTCCCCTATAACTCTGCTCCTATCTAGAAGAAGAAGAAGAAGAAGAAGAAGAAGAAGAAGAAGAAGAAGAAGAAGAAGAAGGAGAAGGAGAAGGAGAAGGAGAAGGAGAAGGAGAAGGAGAAGGAGAAGGAGAAGGAGAAGGAGAAGGAGAAGGAGAAGGAGAAGGAGAAGGAGAAGGAGAAGGAGAGGGGTGAGGGGTAGAAGAGTGGGTGGAGGAAGAGTTCTACCCATCCTCCCCTAGAGCCTCATAGCTGTTAGAAAGAGGCACCTCAAAGGTGGGTACCACAGGGGTAGAAAGGACCTTCTTTGACTTTATAGAGATTCGCTTGTCGATTGCCGGCTGTAGGAAGTCGGCAGTAGAGGTACTGATCGACTTCATGACAGGCCGGAGTACTTTTGCATATGTCCGGCCAGGGACCGGGGTCACGACTGGCGGACAGACAGCCTTACGGGCCTCCTGGAAGGAACAGCCATTTCGCGCCTTGTGTTCTTTGATTGCACGTTCTTGGAGCCAAGTCGGGCAGTCCTTGCTGAAAGCTGTGTGCTGGCCGTGGCAACTGGGGCAACAAGGACTAGCCTTGCATTCCTTCTCAGGATGCCCAGTCTTGCCACAACGAGGACACACGGCTGCATGACGGCACCGTTACTAGCTATGGCCGAACTTCTGACACTTGAAACAGCGCAGAGGGTTCAGCACATAGGGTCGTACTTCGAGTACCAAGTAAGATGGCCAAACGGTGGCTGGAAGGCGGCACGAATCGAAAGTTAGAATGATCGTGTTCGTTTCGAGTGTGGTCTCCCCCCGCCGAAGAGTAATCCGGCGGGCTTCGACCACACCTTCGCAATTAGCCACAATTTCCTCGTTGGAGCAGCCCTTCAGCTCATGGCTGCGGACCACGCCCTT